TTCCTGCTGCTAATAAGGCATGAAATTCCCTCACTAAAGAGACTAATTGCCAAATACAATACTGGCTCCCTATTTAAAATACATTTTACACTTTCTGAAGGAATAGAGCCAGTATATGAAGTCAGTGTATGTTTGTTTGCTTCATTTTGGGATAAAATAGTAGTACAATAAGGTTGTAGTCTTCCATGTCATGTTTTCATGGATCTGTCTTGTCCAACCTTGATCAACATCAAATGTGGAGAAAAAGGTAAAAACTCCATAAATTAAAACAGTCAATTTGTGCTTTGTGGTAGGCTCCATTACTTCTCAATGTAGTAGATGTCCCTTAAAATTAAAAAAAAACAACAACAAGGTATGTATATTTTGCTTTGAATGTCATGAATTATTCAAATAGAACAAGAGTAAAGAAATGTGTGGTTACCAAGAAAGAGGCATCTTAGTTCGGCTTCTAAAATCAACCAGGGTACTGCAGACAGCTTGAAGAAAAACAGAGGCAAACCCCCAAATGACAATGCCATACTGACTTTACATTTTTAATTTTTTTAAGTCCTGCCCCAGCTGATGACTGCTGAATGTAGTTTAGAGAAGAGGGGAAAAAAATAAAATTATAAAATTCTCAAGAGTATGTTTAAATAGAGTATCAACTGTGAATTCTAAATAGGTTTATTATTGTACCTTAAATTATTTTAATCTAGGGAACAGAACACACTCCCTGGTATAAAACTGTGACTTTTGAAAGTTTTTCTACCTTTATTGCTTGATATGGAAGTTACATTTCAGGAGGTATAGTTCCTCTGAATTTAACGAATGTGCAATATATACAGCCTTTTCTTCTCCAACAGAGATATTGGGCAGTAGGCCAAGAAGAACATAACATTTTTCTACTGTGAAAGAAATTTAAAAATATTCTTAATATACCTTTTCAAGTATTCCCTATAGTTATGAGGAAATCGCTTCAAGGAAAACTGGATGTAGCTGTCAGCCACCCACTAAGAGCTGTAATACTGGATAAAGAGTAATAACATCAGTGATAGGTTTATCATATTAATATTAAAAGTTTATTTAAATGGAAATCAAAACTGGCAGGGGGAAAAAAAAAAAAAAAAAAAATTAAAGCCTACCAGAAGTGGTGAAATAAAAACTGTATGTTATTAGAAGCTTTTATTCCTTTATGTCTCTTAAATGGAAGTGGAGAAAGAGTAAAAATGACAAAATAATGCCAGAAGAGGGTTAGAAGAAAATGAGGATTTCCAGGTGTCTTGTTTCTCATATCCAAGAGCGTGAGCACCTTTGTATTTATTTTAAAGCATAAAAAAGAAAAATTTTTTTTTAAAAAAGGGTTGACTTAGATTCCCTAATTGCATTAATAGGACTTCGTAGCCAAAAGATAATAACTTACTCTAACTTCCTGCTTAAGACAAAGCATGAAATTTTGTTACCTCCTAAAATGATAACAGGTTACAGTTGAATTAGAACTTCACTATTCACATAGTGGAAAATGTTCAATGTTCCTTAAGGTATTTCCATTGCATACTTAATTTTGCTTTTAAACAGTTTACATATTTGTTCCAGCTTTCTGTCGGCATAGTCAGCTTTGGTTTTGCAAAATATTGGTCCCTTGCCTTGTAGGGTTTGGGTTTTTTTCCGACGTATAGAACTAAAAAACAGTGTTTAATAGCACAGATACTTACTTTCAGACTCTCAGCAGTATACCTGAAAGCACTTTACGAATCTATGTCTGTTTCAAATGCATAAAAGCAACAGAATTTAAAAAATAATAATATTATTTTTATATTCATTTATATACATATATTTTTTTATATATGCATATATATATATAAAACTAATTTATTATTGGTAATTTTCTATCATCCTGGCACTTCTGCCACTTACCTTGCTTCCAGGCATTACAAGCGATTTCAAGACAGTTATTGAAATCACAGACAATGAACAACACCCCATCCATTCTTATTTCCATACTGCTGAATTTTTGTCTTTGAATTATGTTCCACTGTGTAAGCTGTGTAATTCAGACCAAAAGGGACAGTTTAAAAAGATAGATGGGGGGGGGCTCAAACTTTCATATCTGCAATCTGTGGTGCTTTAAAGATTCTGCCAAGAAAGCGTAGCTGTGAAGTTTCATTGCACTTTCAAAAGAGCAATTAAAATTATTTTAAATCTCTTTGCCACCTACTGGCTCTAGTCTTGATCTCAGGGCTGCAGGACTGTTTGTGTCTCCACAAATACTGTGAGAGGATGAAGAACCAAAGAGGAGTTTTTGGATCCATCAGTAGGCCAGAAACATACCAGGGCATTGAAGACAGAACTGTATCTCTGCCTTTGGAAGGTGCAATACCATCATCCTGCAAATTGAAACAGGATTGTAAAAATGCCCATGATCTTCATGTACCTTGTGTAAATATGTCCTGCCTTTTGAAGGGAGCAATAAAATGCTGGAAGTACTGTCAAAATGTTTGAAAGTTTGGAGTTTCAAAAATCTTTCTCTGCATTTCCCTTTGAAGAAGACAACTGGTTGGTAAAGGTCAGTGAAGTCTGAAAGAATGTCTGATGACACCATGTAGCTGCATCTCATATAATCCACTATACAATAACCTATATAATCCACTGAGAAACTGTAGGAGTTTTGTTTAGTAATCTTAAGCAGTTACTAAGCTGTCTAAAAAGTTTGTGCTAGTATTTTTAATGTTGCCAACACTTCTTCTGAACCAACCCTAAAAGATGTGTCTTTGATATAAGGAATTAACATATACCAAATAAACATGAGATCAGTTGAAAAATTCCATCACTTTAGAGCAAAGGAGGCTTTGTTTCACTTTAAATATGTTCTGTTACAGCAAGTTTGTCTTTCTCAGAAACTTTACTATTTTTAATTTACTATAGAAACAGCTTAAGAACATTCTACCCTGAAACAAATGGAAGCTTTTCCCTTACATAAATTT